CTGACTAACTACAGTAAGTACACTTCCGCTGTATCTGTATCTGTATAGCCGGTATAACCGCCCTTCGGCGTAACACACCAGCTTCTGTATCTGTATAGCCAGTATAACCGCCCTTCAGTGTAACACACCAGCTTCTATATCTGTATAGCCAGTATAACCGCCCTTCAGTGTAACACACCAGTGTCTGTATAGCCGGTATAACCGCTCTTCGGCGTAACACATCAGCTTCTGTATCTGTATAGCCGGTATAACCGCCCTTCGGCGTAACACACCAGCTTCTGTATCTGTATAGCCGGTATAACCACCCTTTGGCGTAACACACCAGCTTCTGTGTCTGTACAGACGATCGGTATAACCGCCTTCGGCGTAACACACCAGCTTTGCAGATGCGTGGCGCGGCGGCAGCTGGCTACATTTCACCGAATAGAACGACGTGTTACACCTAACCCTTGAACATTTAACTCTGAACAATGTTTAGAGCTATCTAATGATAATGCCCCTACTGTACTTGGTGACAGTGAGTTCCACTCTGCGATAGGTCTAGGAAAGAATGAATTTGTGAACACCTTAATCGTTGGTTGATAACTCTGGTACTGCATGGCTATTTGTTGTTCTCTTCTGGGCTGGGATACCAGTCTATTAGTCATTTTGTACATCATGCATAGTCTGGACATTTTTCTTCTGTCTTCCAGTGACACCCACTGTAGGTTTCTTTTCATGCATGTGATGAAAGATTACTTGATCACTTGTCTTGAATATTTCTCGCTAACTACAGTACAAGACACGTAAATAAAATCCATTCATTCATTCATTCGGTATGTATTGCGCCAATGTAACGCATGTTATATTGTATTGTTGTGCTGTGTCTTTACCACGAATTATTATTCAAACACGTCTTTACTCGAGGTTTTCTTGGCACTTCAAAAACCTTGGGGTGAGGGAAAGAGACCTCTAGCGTCTAGCGGAAAAATAGACGTAAAGCAAGGACAACATCAACAAAAATAGGGCTTGGGCCTCACCAATCAGCTTTAAAGAACACTTTTTAAAGATGATATCTTGGTTAAGTTGGTCCCCTTAGTACTGTCAAGTTAACAGCACATCTGCAGCTGCATTCATCTCGAACAAAATTGAGAAGATGTTGATTACATTTTTTCCTCCTTGTGTTACAGCTGAAGACCATCCCTTGGAGATTTCACCAAACCATGAATCATCTGGTACTGAACGATCGGATTCACACGCCGCCGGGAAGAAAAGGATCAAAAGGAGAGCAAGGAATAATAAAAGAAATAAGCCAGGAAAAGGAGGGAATAAAGGAAATAAGCCAGGAAAAGGAGGGAATAAAAAAGACAGGCCAGGAAAAGGAGGAGGGAATAAAAGGAATAAGCCAGGAAAAGGAGGGAACAAAGAAGGAAAGCCAGGAAAAGGAGGGGATAAAAGAGAAAAGCCAGGAAAAGGAGGGAATAAAGAAGGAAAGCCAGGAAAAGGAGGAAGAAAGGGAGGAAAAGGTGGCGAAGAGGAACCGGAAGGTGAAGAGCCACCAAAGAAGCCGAAGAAGAAGAATCGCCAGCTGAGGCAGAGGAAGAACCAACTGAAGACTACATTGGCGAGGAACCATATATGGAAACTGAAGAAGAGGCCTTGCCAGAAGAAGAATATTTGGAAGAAGAAGAACAAAGTGTTGCAGAGGAGCTAGCTGAGCTGCAAGAACGACAAATGGAGGAACAGGAAGAACAGGACCTGCTGCAAGAACAACTCGATAACAAAGAGATGGAGATTGCGGACGATTATGATATGCTGCAAGAAGTAGCTGATAATCTGAGCGAGGCAGCTGAGAATGTCGAAGAGTTGGAGTATGGCACGCAGACAGGACTCGGGGCTCTGGATAACCCTGAAGAAGAAGAAAGACCGGTCGAAGAGGAAGAAGGTTTTATTGAAGAGGTCGCTGAAAAGCCAAGCAAGAGGCGAAATAGGAACAAGGGTGGAGCCGATACAGGAAAACGAAGAAATAGGAATAAAGGACCGGTCGAAGAGGAAGAAGGTTTTGTTGAAGAGGTCGCTGAAGAGCAAGGCAAGAGGCGAAATAGGAACAAGGGTGGAGCCGATACAGGGAAACGAAGAAATAGGAATAAAGGAAAAGCAGATGAGGAGGAAACGGTCCAGAGGAAGAAGAAGAAGGAACGAAAAGCCATGGAGACGCCCCAGGGCGAAGAGGAAGCTCCCGCGAAACCCCGAAGTGCCAGAAGAAGGGAGAGAATGCGGGCCGGAGCCACACTACAAGGACTCCAGCCAACAGGAATGGCTCAGGGATGGGGATTCGGTCGGGGGAAGGCTGGTCGCCAAGGCAGACGCCAGCAGATGAGACCCACGGGCGCTTTCGGCAGACCACAGCCCCCGCAATTCGGTGGAGGAAGAGGAAGAGGAGGCAGAAGGGGTCAGGCTGGACGTCAAGACAGGGGCCCCGGAGGATTTACTGGCAGGCGTCAGCGCCAGAGGACACCGCGGGTGAGGGAACCGACGACTGGGGTGGCTGGACGCCGAGGCAGAGGCCCTGAGTTTGGCGGCAGACGCCAGCGCACCAGGCCCGAGGGCACCTTCGGCAGACGTCCGCGCACAAGGCCTCAGGGCACTTTCGGCAGACGCCAAGGCACCTTCGGCAGACGCCAGGGCACTTTCGGCAGACGCCAGGGCACAAGGCCCGAGGGCACTTTCGGCAGACCCCAGCGCACGAGGCCCGAGGGCACCTTCGGCAGACGCCCGCGCACAAGGCCCCAGGGCACTTTCGGCAGACGCCAGGGCACTTTCGGCAGACGCCAGGGCACAAGGCCCGAGGGCACTTTCGGCAGACGTCCGCGCACAAGGCCCCAGGGTTACTACGGCAGACGCCAGCCCCGGCCTGCTTGGGGCTGAAGGTGTTAAAAAGGAGATGGCAGACTACAGAACCACCCGCTAACACAAAAGTTACACAACAGAACATTTATCGTATTTTACAATACATTTGAGCACTCTGTCAGACACATACGATATAGGCCATATATAAAGCATTAGAAACTTTTTTTCTAAAACAATGAGGAATCGTTGAACATTTGGTAAGAAACTTTTTTAAAGTTTCTTCACGATCATTTATATCATTACACCTGCACATTTTATTGAAACTAAAATAGATACGTTCGGTGATTCAATAAGCTAAACCGGAACGACTGAGAATACTTGAATCTTCACACTAAAGTCACATATGAGAAATGTGTCAAACATACTAGTGACGTATCGAGAATCTGTTTATCTCAGTCTTGACGTGACTACTTTGACATCATTGGACACTACGTTACAAACCAATAAATCTACTGTCTGCCATTTATTTCAGTTGTTGTATTTTTGTCAATTTTTCTCTTGCGATTGTCAGGCTAAATAGTCTATTTTCATAAAAGTAGAGCCATTTATATGGAGGAAAATATCACGCACTTGCTAGCTTGAAAATGTTGATTTCTGGCTTTGAAAAACTTTGTAAGCTTCACACTACAATCTCTTACACTGACGTCGACATTTGAGGAAAGTATAACTTCAAAAGTGTATGTAACGTTCCTAACTTTTCTAGATCATATAGAATGTCGGTCTGGCTGGCTAGTTTGTGGCCTTCAGAAAGACGCTGGCACACAGAGTAAAGAGACTCTTTTTACACAACCAAGTCTTTTATTCAGCCGACGTTTTGGTGACCGTCTGTCACCTTCCTCAGGGTTCACATTGCATTGCAGCACAGGTTTCGCTGCTACAGATGCATTCCCAAATGTACAATATTAACCAATGTGAATTTAGCAATGTGAACCAGTCAGAATTGCCCTGAGGAAGGTGACAGACGGTCACCGAAACGTCGGCTGAATAAAAGACTTGGTTGTGTAAAAAGAGGCTCTTTACTCAGTGCCTTACCAACCTGATGAAACTATTCACGGACGCTGGCACACAGTTTGGAACATCAACTGTACGTTTATTCAGCAACGAGGAAAATACATTAGAGACTTTCTAAAATACACTAGAGAATGTCAGCACGCAATAAATCGTGTGGCTGATAGAATGAAATCAAATATGCATAACTTACAATTTTACGTCACTAAATTCATCTGTGGAATGCTTCGTCGCAAAGTACACAATGCATTGTTGATAGATTTGTAAAATTGGGGTCATGTGGTAAGGCTAGCGCTCTTGGGCAACTAGTACTGAAAAGCTAGTCATAAATAGACTATGAATTATCTAAAAAAACTCACTCGTTTGTTCGTTCGTTCGTTAAAGGGGCATTATGTAAATTTTGTTTGCACCAAAAGTTGAAATATTTTATTTGACTAAATGCTAGTGTGGTTGTAATTTACTTCCACAATAATTCAACATATTTGTGTAATTAACTCACATTTCTGACCTTTATGACATGGTTGGCACTAAAGCAGCCCACAAGAGGTGCAATAGAGTAAAATTGTTTCTTACTTTGTAAAGAAATAACCAAAAAAGTAACTTTCTGTATCATCCCAGTGCTACATATTGCAGCTTTAACATTACTTGGAACATCTAGCCTTATAAGGGTTTTGTTGGCAGATGTAGCAGGTTTTGTCGTACCAGCTGACGGGGTCAGCAGTGGGGGTGATCTCGAGTCTCTCCCCAGTAAGGTCCCTGCCACAGTGCGGGCAAATGACGGGATATCCTTCCGGTTGTGGAATGGGAGCAAGAGAGAACCCGTATATCTGTGTCGCACCTTTGCATTGTCGACCATAGCTTGATATGCTATCAAAGTCTTTAGAGGTAGAGTTGAAAGGGACATTGGGGTAATGATCTTTCGTGGCATGGTGCGGTGAGTGAGATTTGAAGGGTGCTCCTGAGATGGCCATGGACTCTTTCCTGCAAACCCCGTTCTCTATAGATGGCGAAGCTACCAGAAACACTGATGGGTCAAAATCTGTCGACTGTATCTCAGTTTTGGTACGGATGTCGTCCCTCTTGCTGCCTGGTGTGATGCACTGAGGACGCGTTCTACCCGCACACGGCCTCCGATTCGGACCAGTGGGAGACAAGAGAACAGTGGCTTTGTTAGCACAATTAGGTTGGAGATAACCTCCTGGCTTCCCCGATAAAAGTTTAGCAGTAACTCCTGCTGTCTTCCCTACCTTCACGGTTTCCGGTACGTTGGGTAGATAGGCGGTGGCCTGGTTGGATTTAGGAAAGAGTTGGACAGTGTAAACAGTACTCTCTTGCTGTGGAACAGTCGCTCGCATCCGGACGAGTGGTTTAACGCTGGCTTTTGGTTTGGTACAGGGGTGCAGCAGGCGGTGGTGTTGAGCTGAACACGGTTTGTTCGACAGGAGATATACAGGGGAGTGCGTGTGGGGTTGGTCTTCTGGAGACTTGGTTAGATACGCCGGGATGGCAGGCGCGGAGTTGGGTTTACGCACGGTACGTAGACAAGGACTGGTGACGAAAACTGGGCTTGGACCGACTGATGTAACCACAGGGACACTACTCCACGGACAACCTTCACCGATTGGAGATGGGCACGAGTCGCGTTGACATGGGAACGAGATTGCGCGAGGCGTGCCGGGAAGCACCGAGCATTTGTCGTCGACCTTTCCGTCGTCATTTGAGGCCTGGTTTATAGTACCAAGTTTTTGCTGTCCAAATTCTGTAGCCAGACACCTCCTGGGCCCAACTAGACATCTTGATGGTAGAACCGTCTCTTTTCCCTCAGAATTCCGCGGTTTGCCTTCATTTTCCAATATAGAAGAACTACCTGATGAGGCCGTCGGTCCTGTGATGTTGTGTGGAGTTGTACAGCAGGACGGTTTGGGCAAGGTGTGAGACGCGATCGTTGTGAACACTCTCTCAGCTGCATGAGTCAGCGCTTTACCTACATAAGACGGAGGCGCTAACACAGTCGGCTGCCTTCCTGTTGGTGTAGTAGAGGCCAAACCGCTACTGTGCGGTCCGTATAAAGGCACAGTGAGGTGCGTCGACGTCGTGAACACGAAGTGACGTTCTTCCGACGTCGACGTCGCCCTTGAAGACGTTGTGGTGCCCAGAACGTGGGTAGACGGGCCTAGATCGGGTAGACTCTGGTTTGTAGGTTGGGCCTGAGTAGGAGTTGAAGTAAAGAGTGGAGAAAAGAGTCCGGTGTCTCTGGTGCTGCTTACATGTACGTGCGTCCCATGTGGGGTTGACGCCGAGGATAAGACAGATAGACTCTGGTTTGTAGATTGGGCCTGAGTAGGAGTTGAAGTAAAGAGTGGAGAAAAGAGCCCGGTGTCTCTGGTACTGCCTGTGTGCTTCCCGTGTGGAGTTGACGCCGAGGGTAGGACAGCGCTTTTACCGACGGACGGCGGAGTTGAGACGGGAAGACGGCAGAGGATCGGCCGGGGCCCGGGCGGGGTACACGGTGTAGCGGAGGAGGAAGCATGGCGGGCTCCCGCGTGCCTGCCCTGTAGCCTGGGCAGCGTAACCATCTGCCCGTACCTGCGGAGACATGTATATGGAAACTGTGAGTATTTCAAAGGAATTTTGGTACTCTCCAAGCAGAGGTTAGTGGGAAAGATCGTTATTATCTTGTACGTAGGTCAATTTTGTTGTGCCCATGTATCTGTCTGTACGTCTAGTTAAGGACCTCACGAAAGTCGTTGTATACTGTTGTTGTGTCAATAAAGTTCTGTAAAGATGGCTATTCTTTGAAGATTCTGTTGACTACTTTCTTCTGATAATAAATTCTATATATATATCAATGGTTTATTTGCATTAAAAACACAACAACACTGGCCCAAAAATGGCAGCCAGAGGCTGAATTGACATGGGGACATTACATAAACAGCAAACAGTATAAAACGTCATATTAAACAATCTAAAATAGTAATTGTCGTGTCAATAAAGTTCTGTAAAGATGGCTATTCTTTGAAGATTCTGTTGACTACATTCTTCTGATAATAAATTCTATAAAATATGGTGCATCACAAACCATAAGTTGCTGTACAGCCGCAGAAACTGAACGTCTTTCCCTGAAGAATCTGCATCCCCACCGCCGAGGTTGACCACCGTGACTGTGTTCCCTGGCCGGGCGGCATCCGACTGCTGCTCTACTACCGTTACACCTCCTGAACTAGACGTGCTCTTAGATACTGTGGCGCCTGTGGTCTGCTGCATACTGCTGAGACTCCGTGATGTTTAGAGACGGAACGTCGGGTGTTTTTATATCGTCTGACAGGGTCTAAGAGGGACAGATTTTCACTTTGTGTCGGTAACCAAGGGCTCATGCAGCTATGTTCGAAACCGCTGGGTGTCGCTAGGGGCTACGTCATTTGGAACAAAACAACATAACGAGAACCGTGACAGCGGGTTTATAGAACTCGTAGAAGGGGAATCGCTTCCACCTGTGAAGGAAAGATGTTCAGAGAGAGGTTTTGTATATGTGTATTGGGTATATATAGACATAACGTTAAGAACATGTCAAGTTCTATACGTATTTACAGTAATAGTTTCAGGGGGTTGATGCATTCAATTTTGACCAACCTGCAGTTAGCCACTCGATTCAGCAACTCGATTCGCAGCACTCGATTTGCAGCACTCGATTCAGCACCCGATTCGACTTTGCCGTCGATTCAGCCCTCATTTGGAGAGGATAGACAGAACATAGCAGCAAATTCGTTTTAAGAGAGCTATCTTAAAACGAATACAAAAGCGGAAAACGATGCCACTCGTCTAAAATCGCTAAACACGGAGCTTTGTACTCACCGGAAGATTCTCAAACACGACATAACTTTGAGAACAAAACTAGAAAGTAATACTAGAAAGGCCAAATTTGCTTTGGAGCAAATACAGCGATGGGTTCACCACATTTTACGACATGGCAGGGAAAGAATGAGAAACACAAGGGAAAACAATGATTTACATTGATATAACTATAATATGAAGTAACATACAACTAAAACAACAGTTGGATAGCTATTCCCTACTTTATTGGTTAGGGTTTTTAATTGCATAATGCAAACTGTTGATTTTCAAAATAAAAAAAAACGTTCATGCCCCGCATTCCAATGCTGGAGCAGAAAAGCTTGAAATACCTACCAAAACACTTGAATAAAGACATACTGTCAGTATGGAAATGCTCTGTGCAGGTGTTAATCAAGTTAAATCCCAACAGCCAATCAGCAAGAAATGCTCTGTGCAGGTGGAAATGCTCTGTGCAGGTGTTAATCAAGTTAAATCCCAACAGCCAATCAGCAAGAAGTATAGAGGAAAGCTGCATGCCTATTGGTTGATGCCCTGCATTCCATTGTGATGACTCATGCCCAGACGTGGTAAACACGGCACACTAACACAGTAATACATTTGCTATAACACAGCCAAAAAACTCAAATAAAACCATTCTAAAAGCCTGTATCACAAAAATTTAAAAAACGCCTAGGGGTATTTGCCCACTGTACCTCCATACCAAATTTCAGGACCTTAGGCCCTAAAATGAAGAAGCTGAATCCATTTAAAAAATGGCAGGAGGAGAAGGAGGAGAAGAAGAAGAAACATCAGAAAAAGCAATATGGGTTCACCACCACTTCGTGGTGTGGTGAACCCATAATTATGATCCTTGCCTGGTAAAAACTAGGGAAGGCAAGACAATGAAAAATGAAAAAAAAAAGTTGCCAGACGGCGTTGTATAGAACTACCATTTTTATTTTTACCTTGGTTCGGAGAACTTGACTGTTTGTTTGATACTAAACGACTGCTGACAATATCAGACATAACATTAACAAGCAATGTTTATAGTAAGGCAGTAACACTACATGGCGAGAAATATCATATCAATTACATGATTAATGGACAGTCGACAGTTCTTGAAATCTCCACAACAAATAGCTACCCACACCGAAATTCAAACAGTTATACTTTATACATACAAACAAACACAAATCAAAACTAGAGAGGTAACATTTTCAAAGCATATATAATGCATATATAATGTTTACCTTAGCATATGGTCTGCTCTATTAATTCTTACTCAAACACATTCATATATCATTATGGTCAGACAGGAGTCTAAATCCCTCCTACTATACAATTGATGTAACCCAACACTAGTTACTATGGTGACAGACATCTGGTTCAGGTCATTGACCTTATTTGTTTGGAGCAGAAGAAGAAGAGGAAACAGAGCAAAAACAATATGTTTTCCTTCAGTAAACATAACAAAACCCTCGTCCGGATGGAGCTTGAGACTCTCCTTCCTAGATCGGAGGCAATAAACTACATTTTGTTTGTTTGTTTGCATAAACTGCAATGTCAATGAAATTATTTTACAATAGAGCTAATTTCTATGTTCCTTCCGTGAATAGTTTCATCAGGTTGGTAAGACACAGAGTAAAGAGACTCTTTTTACACAACCAAGTCTTTATTCAGCCGACGTTTCGGTGACCGTCTGTTACCTTCCTCGGGGCAATTATGACTGGTAACTGTTAAATAACTGACCACCCTTTATCAAACATCTGCACGTTTGGGAACGCATTGTAGGTACATTTCCCTGTAATCCAATCACGCATATGTGTAGATATGTAAATATTGTACATTTGGGAATGCATCTGTAGCAGCGACACCTGTGCTGCAATGCAATGTGAACCAGTCAGAATTGCCCCGAGGAAGGTAAGAGTCTCTTTACTCATTCTATGTTCCTTGTTGGTCCACGTTTACCCCGTTTCTGCTGTAGCACACGTTGTACAAACCAGAGACGGTGGACCTCGCTATCTCAACTACAGATTTACGGAACGATTTGTGAAACGCACTGTGCACGACGACGTCCAGAAAGTTGTTGGACAACGCTACCCACATTGTCCAAAACAGGGCGGTTGGCAGTTCATATCCCACATGATGTGCGACTAAGGTACAGAAGAACGGGAGCGGCAATGCTGTTTGCGCTAGAGTCAAGATCAGCACAGCTTTAACACACGAGCCCTCACCGTGGTAGTGTGGTGCCGCTGGAGGCTGTTGTTCGGGGTTATTAGCGTTCTGAGGTGGAACCCCGGCGGGCCCGTTCATGTTGATGTGGATAACTGGAGCAGCCGGTGGCTGAGGTGGAGTACACACTGCCTTTAAGACTCGGACGACACAATACGTCGTCACGACCAGAGCGACGCTCATGATGACCATCGTCACTGTGGTGAACCATATGTGGGCCTTTAGGTCACACGTCGGCAGGGCCATGATCCGGTCGAAATCGAAGGGCACCGCGTAGGCTTCACAGAAGATGTAGAAAGCGTAAATCCCAGCCCAAGTCGAGATCAGAAAGATTCGGGCGTTCTTGTGAGAGACGCCCTCTCCGTTGTTCAGCACAGCATGGTATCGGTCTAGGTTCAGACCTAATGACAAAAGAGAGAGATAGATCACAAGATTTGCAGCAATGTATAAAGAAACCCTTTAATTAATATGATCATATCCGAAGGATGATATGTAAATCTCGCGGTTGAACCAGCGGAGAAGGACAACGCCGAAAGTGATTTTGAATCAGAAATTATAGTTGAAGAATGAAGTACTGAAATAACTAAGTGAGCTGAACACCACTAGTTATAGTTAAAAGGTTCAACAGATCGTAGCATCATTTGAGAGGAAGATGTAATTGTTACCTGCGAGAGAAGAGTAAGTTATCGTTGTGGAGGACATTCCGATGACGCCGAAGGTTTGGACAGCCGTGTCCGAGTACACCCACTCCCCGGCCGTAGCGGGCGCCACCATGAAGGGGGAGGTCAAGCCGACGAACAGGTCCGACCAAGCCATGGAGAACACGAAGAGTCGACTGGCGGCGGGGAACGTCTGTCGCTTGGCGGTCGCCACGATGACGACAAGGTTCCCGGCGATGGTTAGCGCGGCTACGGCGGCGATCACGGCCGGCACCGCTGGAGAGGACGTCGGAGAGGGCACCGGAGCGGACGTCGGAGAGGGCACCGGAGCGGACGTCGGAGAGGGCACCGGAGCGGACGTCGCGTTGGTCACGAAGGATTCGTTGGAGAAATTCATATCTCTTGCCTGCTCTTCACCTTGTTCACACAGTTTGTTCTTGTTGCTGTAGATTCTGTTGTTGCAGATTCTGTTGTTGTAGATCTCAGGAGGCACCACAGTGGCCACCGCCGCTTTTCAAAGACGTCTGCGATATGGACTCACAGGCTCTTGACGTTGACACAGCTGAGCACTGGGGCTGTCTTGGAGGAACTTGCCAACGACCAAAGCAGCTGGACGCTATACTTAGGCACTGCGTAGAAGAGAAGAGGGCCCCGGAGAAAATGACTATAACAGACCAGAGTCAGCTTACAGATGTGCCCTAGGTAGAGACTGTCTATATATATATATGTTGTAGTATACACATAGGGCATATATATATATAGATTCTGTTGTAGTGGTTCGTGGTGGTACTGAAAGGTTGTTCACCGCCACGAGCCACACGATAACGAGTGCTCAGCTGGAAAGGTGCAAGCGTTTTGCTATTTTGATATTCGTAACTTGTTGTTAGGTCCTGTATATTGTATTGACTTGTCCTGTGTTGTGTTGTGTTGTGTTGTGTTGTATGTACCAGTGGCAGCCGCCACCAGCCTTTGGCTGCCTGGCTCCCACTTGTAATGCGTTGTTTGGCATCACCAATAAATGAAATGAAATGAAATGAAACGAGTCTCACTGGGTGAAATGTCACGAAGAGATTTTATGACTTCGGCATCTCGCATGTTCAGTTCCGTCGCTTGCCTTCATCAGGAGTGGAAATATATAAACTCTGTTTACTGTGCTTGTTCTGACATTTGCGGCAATTTCATTACAGTTATCAATGAATGAAGACCTTTATTCTACATATATACCCACTGGGTTAAGCACAGGTCACCACAAAAGGATGGAATATAGAAAACGTTACAAATATACATCGTAAAGTAACTATATTATAAGATAGATTAAGTAAATTCGGTTTCTTCTCGTTTCTTAGTAACAGTAAAAAGGTAAGAACAGGTATGTTTCAATATAGAAGGATTGTCTCAGTCAATGAAGCTAACATTTCTCTAGCCCCCACCAGGCCTTCCTATTAAAAGATTCAACAATTAGGATTTTTAATTGGCCAGAAGAATGAGCCACGGCAAGGTTAACATTTACATGGTGCTCAAACTCCTCGTGGACTATGGCAAGTTGTTTTTGTCACATGGGATAATAAACATGCAGGAACCAAGTATGTTGCATCAAGATCTCCTTTATTTCTACGGACCTTCCCCGACAGTGCCACGTCCTGAACTCCCCGTTCTACATGTGGTTCCCATCTACCAGCTAAAGATAGGAGGCTACTAGTATAGTATGTAGGGGACAGACTCTTAGCAACAATGAACATGAACATCTGTGTCTTGAACTCGCCGTTGTCATCCCCTCTTAACCCCCTCCTGCATGTGGTTCTCATCTGCCAGCTAAAGATAGGAGGCTACTAGTAGAGGGCCTGCAAGGGGGGGGGGGTCCCGACAACGCTCTACGCTGAATTCGGTAACCTCTCGATTACGCTTTACGATAAATTCCAAGTGGCTACAACGCATTACGTAGAATTAAAACGCCGAATACGCTCTACGCAAAAATATTAGAGCGGTTCGTCTACGCTCTACGTAGAATTAAAACGGCCGATTACGCTCTACGAAAAAGGGCTTGCGGGCCCCCCTAGTATAGTATGTAGGGGACAGACACCTAGCAACAATGAACATGAACATCTGTGTTCTGAACTCCCCCTTGTCATCATGCCCCTCTTAACCCCCTCTTACATGTGGTTCTCATCTACCAGATAAAGATAGGACGCTATGTTGGGGACGGACCCCTAGCAACAATAGAAGAAGAAGTTTATTGCAAATTCGTGCCCGGGGGCTAATTGCAAATTACAAACATAAAAAAACAAAACAGAGTATAACATAACTAAAATCTACATGATGAAAGGTAGTTGTCTAAAGCTATAGATATGTTTAAAACTATGTCTAAGGGGTTTGACTTCTCTTTTGTAAACCATGGAAGACGTTATGTCCCACCTTTTCCAAAATCAGTGGGTTTGGGAGGTAAAAAGAAGAAAAGTTTTTCTTTGTCTGTAAGTTTAGTAAAATTGGGATAAATTGTAGAGGTTTGAATAGTTAACTCATTTCGAGCGTTGTTATGAAAGGAACAGTTTGAGATAAAGTATATTTCGTCTATCACAGCCTTTGCGCTACAATATTTACAAATGAACATCTGTGTCCAGATCACCCCGTGACATTTCCCTCAGCCCGCGTTGACAGTCTGGTAGAGACGTACATTTCCCTCGGGCCTGGCGTATTTTTGGAAGGTAGGGAATCTTTGTGGAACCTTGGTTGCTCACTACTCGCACTTTGTAGCCTGGGTGCCATCCGTGGTAGCCAGCGACATTAGGGAGCCGGTGGAAACTACGGAGGATGGCACCCAGGCTAACTCACACCTTGAGTGCAATATACTGATTGATTACACGTCCTGGATGATATCCCCTGAGCACTTCAAAAGTGTTGCTTATAAACCTGCATTTCTCCTCTGGTCTCTCAGTCACTGACGAAAGCTGACAGTGGATACTAGCTGAAACGTCTGACCGTTTCCAAAATCATATCCAGTTGCTTGCATAACTGCTTTTTGACGTATCTTATTACCTGGATGTCTAACCTTCATCGACGTTGCTGAAAATCATTTTTTTTCTTGTTTTCACCTAGCTCTTTGTATGTCATTAGCAAAGACGTCATGACGCAAGAAGGACACGTCGACGTTGTGACTTGAATCAAATGGTTTGACTGTTATTAAACGGAATTATTTGAAATTGTTTAATCAAATGAATACTAGGCCTGAAAGACTGTGGTTTGGTTTGACCAACCTTAGCGCTAAGCTTTGCTCAGTGATCAAGTTCTACTAAAACAACCCGTTAGTAACAACTCTTGAAACAGCTGGACATATACTCAGGAGAAAGTAGATCACATATTGCCTTTATTAGGAGCAACAAAGCAGACGCCATGCAGTCGCTATTTGCGCAATGACGGCTCTCTTCCACCTTTAGATCTTGTTCTACGTTCCTCCAGCACTAGTGTGTGGTCTGGTTTACTCTCATCAGACATTTCTACCACGGCGCCTGCTTTTCTTGGACTTCCCCTTGCCTGTTTTCTTAGCCTCGAGTTCCACAACCTCGTGCTGAAGTTCTTTGATCTCCTTTTGTGGGGCAGAGGAAGAAAAAGTTAGAATACGTTGTATCTAAGTGTTGTGTTAGCTACGTTCATATCTGATCGGGGAGTTAATAGAAAATACTATTGGAAGAATATAGATTATCAAAGATACTTGAGATAAAATTTACTATATTTGAAGCTGAGTGGTACATTCCAACAGTTCTGCTAAATATAAAGTGAAGTGAAATGAAATGAAATGAAATGAAGTGATGGTCAGAAATCCGCAAAATTACCAAAAATACTAATTTAAGGTTATAGTTATATCAGTTAAAATTGTTATTACTCGCACTGAAGAGTCGTAAAGGACATAGCTAGGGAAAGAAACCAGCTACATTACGAAACCCCATCCCAGAGAATAGATTGAAACATTCATCTTACTTTCAGAAGCTCATCACCGCTGCGACTCGTTGGAGTTGTTGCTCCTCCCTTCGCCTGGCTTTTATCACCTACACTTTTCCCACCAGCCGGCTTTGTAACGGGCAGTGCCTTGCCTCCCTGCTTTGGAGCGTCCCTTGCGGAAGGCGTTGGAACTGTACCGGCCTGCGGAACTTGAAGATAGCTGGGATAGAACAGGGTCCTCTGTGCAGGTTTGGGCGATGTGGACACGATGCCTTCCTTGCCTCGCGGAAACATTACGTGTTTAGTTGGCGTAGGGTCGATGAAGGGGTTTCCACCAGCAGAAATCGGAAACTGTCGAACCCCATTCATACCCCATCCTTCCAGATATTTCTTCAGGTCTTCCTCACTGGCTTCGCTGGCTGATAGGTCTCCCTCAGGTGTCTCTTTCTCCGTACTGTCGCCTATATCTCTTACTCCCTCCTCCACTTCTTTCTTTCCCACCATCACCACATTCAGTCCTTCTTCTACGTCTCCCACTCCTTCCTTCATCTCTGCCAGACCCTGCTGTACCTTCGCCTTGTCTTGTTTTCCACCAGATTTAGTCTTCTGCCCATCTTCTTGGAGATTCAGACCTTCCTTGATCTTGTTCAAGCCTTCTCTCAGTTTACCGAGCGCTCCGGTCCCCTCCTCTCCACCTCCTGCTGGGATCTTCTTCACATTCTCACCGTCCTTGTTGTTTTCCTTGTTCGCCTCCTTTTCTCCCAGGCCGGGACCATGTACGGTATTCATGCTGGTCATTGCACGGCTTACCAACGAATCCGTACCAGCTAGCCCCTTTCCGCCAACATCACTGTTCGTCCCTCCACTCTGTCCTTTCAGGCCAAATCCTTTGTCTTGAAGTTTTGATTGTTTAGAAGCTGTGTTGCCGGGTTCGAGCCAGTCCTTGAGTTGTTGTTCTCCTTCCTTCACGACTTGCAGGCCCTGCTGTACAAGTGCCGTACCCTCCAGAACTTCAGAACTTGTCTCTTCCGATGCTAAAGCGTTTTGGGCAACGCTAAATGCGAGTAAATCGCTTTGAACCCGCTTTCGCCCTTGCGCCATGCCCTCAAGTGCCTTTTCAAAGATCACTTTCCCGTTCTTGCGGCCTGATGTACCTTTCTTGTGCTGAGCTGTTACGTGTTTTGTCTTTTTTTCTGCATCCGTTTCGCCCAAGGTTACGGTTTTCAACACTCTCAGGAATTCGTTCGTGTCCACGTCGGTAGCCGCCGAAGCCTTTGTATCACCTTTTCCCTCTTCCACGTCCACTCTGGGCTCGTTTGTTTTCTGTTCTTTGTTTTCCTCTTGTTTGACAGGTCCTCTCGTTCTCTCTCTATGACTTTCCTTTTGTATCACCTTTGGCTCTGTTTTACCCTGAGGTTCCTTTGCTCTCTCATCACCACCTTCTTCCTTCTTTTCTGTCACCTTCGCTTCTCTCGAGCTCGCTTTGGGACTTTCCTTCTGTTCTTTGTTTTTCTCTTGTTTGACCTTTCCTTGCGTTCTCTCCCTGTGACTTTCCTTTTCCTTTTGTATCACCTTTGGCCCTGTCTTACCGTGGGGTTTCTTTGCTCTCTCCCTGCCACTTTCTTCTTTCTTTTGTGTCACCTTTGCTTCTCCCGCTCTGGGACTTCCCTTCGTTTTTTGCCTGGGGGCTTTCGTCTTGTTATTTCGCCTGCTTGGTTTTGTTGGTCGCCTGCTGCTTGTCCTTCTGCGTGAAGGCACTGGAGGGCGAGCTGCTTTTTTGGCAGCTTTGCTTGCTTTCGCCAGGCTTTTCTTTCTTTCTACTTCTTTCTTTTTCTTTCCTTCGCCAGTTCCTTTACCGCTGGTGCCACGTGAAGATCCTCCGGCAGCCTTCTTCGTGTTGACTTTCTGGTTGGTCTTTGGTTTCGTTTTCCGGTCTTCCAGCTTCTTTTTTATTTCCATGACTTTCTTGTGCTGCGGCCGTGGTTTCGTTGCCTTCTTCTTTGGCTTTGGTGTCTTCTTTCTCGGTCTGCTTCGTTTGTTGCCACGTCCACCTCTTCTTCTAGCTCTCCTTTTCTTCCGTTTCTTTCCCCCGCTTTCTTGGCTTCCCCTTGTTGATCTTTTTGGTCTTTCCACCATTGCGTGGTTTGCAAGAAGTTGTCCACCGTCAGTTTCCAACCTTTTTGAAAGCCGGGCGTTTTCCAAAGGGCCAGTTTTAGCTATATAAAAGAACAAGAAATAAATAAACAATAGATGCATCGAAAACAACTTTCACAATTCCACCGGGTATACACTAAAACTACCATATCAAAAAAGAATAAAATGAAATATTTTAAGAGATCTACAAATGCTGTGTCAGCAATTCACGAAATATGTACACTTTAGGTCAGATGACTTCAAGACTCTAAGGCCTCAATAACACCGTTTTACAATGTATCGGTCTTAGCACATTGGAGCTACAACTATCATAGTCTCCACCAGACTCCTTTTGCAGGCTGAATAAATCGTAGAAATCGCCTAAAAAGGGGATATAATTGGCCAGAGGAGTTTCCCGGCCGTCGAGTGTACCTTTTTAGGCGATTTCTACGATTTATTCAGCCTGCAAAAGGAGTCTGGTGGAGACTACAACTATCAAATAATACAATCGCTATACAAAGAAATATTCTCAATGTGAACAAGCGGAAGTGTCGGTAACTCACCCAGTTGTTTCCCGTTGGACTGGAGTGGTCCGTTGCTCCGCAGATCCAGGATGCTGCTGTTGACCGTCACTCGACCAGCGGGTTCTTCTAATCCTGGCTTCATCCGAGAACCGCCATCTTGTGCGGTGTTTTTGTCGTTGTTGTTGTTGTTGTCGTTGTTGTTGTTGTTGTTGTTGTTGTACAAAGTAACTGGTTGAATCTCCTCGTGCTTTTCCTGTAAGTCGTGCATGCAAGACACAGGCGCCGAAAAGGATCAATTTCAAAGGAATTAATTGTCTGTATATATCTGATTTATTTGTATGTATACGTCACCTGATAGAGAGTCTAGCACATTGGTATCATATCACCGTAAAAATTTCGTATGATGCGGGCCAAAAGACATTTTGTGGGCAAGAAAAGATAAGAACCTATATCATATTAGGACATATCAACGCCAAGACGTTTCTATGGGGAAAGAACTTTATGTTTATTTGGTAAATTGTAGATTTTGTTAAAGTTGTGTGGAAGTTTGACATTGTTAAATTTTCGGGCACACTCACCTGTTCCTGAAAGTTTGCCTCCACCGAAGACGACGATCCGATGCTGAGAAGCACCAACAACGCAATCTTCACGTTCCACATGCCTGAAAACAGCCTCCGTGAATTTTCTACATATCAATTTTCCGATCCTTCATTCTCACAGATGATGACGAGTGGTGCCGTTCAATGGTTGGTCGCTAGAGGCGCTTTACACCAGTGAAGACAGTGCCTAAAGTAGGAGTGATGTTCGCAACGTTTCTGCTAGCGTCTAAGATTGTCTTACATGGCGAGCCACCGAGAGCAAACGATACACACCAGCGCTATGACAGCGTTCAGTACAGATCGTTCGTTCGACCCCTCCCGTTCTGTAGAACATGAACGGTTGGTTTGTTTTGTTTTCTTGACAACAATCGTTTCCGAACGGCATTGTTCTTCAAACGCAATAATCGTCGTTCTTACGTAAGCTCTTAGTAATTTTTGTACAACAAACCATACCTTTATTTCGCAACAGTCAATGATTGTTTGTTGCTACCTTGGTGCAGGTGCTCTTTGTGGTAAAATGAAGTACGGTTGGGTCCGTATGAAGCAGTCCTCTTTCCGTGTCCGTCACGGTACTTTATTCTGTTCTCCTGTGCCTTCTGTTTCAAAACTATCAAACTCATCATCATCATCATCTTCTTCTTTTTCATCACTATATGACGTCATTGTTATCATTTGCATCATCCCTACCCATCATCATCATCATCGATATCATCATCATCATCATCATCATCATATCGCACCGGTCATCATCAATTTCTACAGTTAGCCATTTTCTGTCTCCGTGCCCATAGTCAGTTTTGTCATCATCATCATCAACAAAAACATTGTCATCATCCGCATCATCAACATTGTCATCATCATCAGCATCATACATATTTTTGTCCATATGGAATAAAGAAAACTGCTAAAGGCATCCAATGCGATTTCAGAGCAGCTGAACTAATCGAAATTGTGTGCAATATAACAATCTGACTGCAATTCAGTGACGGTTGTCCACTGCAAAAGTTCAATAAAGATACTGAATCCTAGTATTGATAGTACGAATAGGACAATTTCTAATCCTTCCACAAATATAGTAAATCCCAATACGTACATAGATAAATAAATAAATGATAATTGACCTCCACTAGTCCAAGTCTGTACAAACCTTATACTGATAAATACTGCAACGCTATTTGAAGCACAGGTAAACAAAATGTAATTTTTTTTTTATCAACAACAACGTTTTGAACAATGATAGTAGTTCGAGACATCTTACGTAATATCTTAAGAACAGAGCAATATACAATCAGCAATTCACCTTTAAATTATGTACATATTTAAACATACGTCAAATGCAGAGCCTCTAGGTATCTTTATTTTCTGAGATACTTCAATAGAAGTGAAAGAAAGATAACGGAAAATGCATGAACTCTCAGCTTGACAAAAGTTGTCTTTCTTTTAAACTCCATCCTGCTGGTTTAAGCCAATCTGACTACAAATATGGCATCTAAGACCTCTGCTCTGTGCTGTGCAATGATTCAACGTTCCGACTTCAACGTTTAGTTGGGTCGTATGGCGTAACGACAGAGCGTTAGGCTCGGAACCAAGAGGTCTCGAGTTCGAATCCTGCCATGCCACCGATCTTGTGCAAGGCACCCTTCGGCAAGGCACAATACACCAATTTCCTCAATTTACTCAGGTACAAATGAGTATGTTTGTTTTCCGTTCGTTGGTGGCGGCATAAATATGAGTTGAAAAAACTCGAGTGTGCCGTCGCCATGCCTTGCGATAAATGTTGGAATGGAAAAAACGTTCCAACTCGCAGATCCAGTTCTAACCATCATCGGTGATGGTCGGGGCACGAGGTGTCAGCTGCAGGGACGCCGCCTGGCGGTACACGACGTCAGGGCATCTGGGATTGTGTGGCACGACTAAGGTCCCGGCAACGTTGTTCAGCTGGACAGGAGTCCTGTAGAAACATGAAGATACTTTATTGACACAACAAGTAAAGCGACTTTTGTAAGGCCACACCAAGTAAATTTTATGGATGACGTCCTTTGGAGACCCTATATCTAATGCGAGAGGGCGAAAAAAAAAACAAGAAGGGCCCTAAAAAACAAGATCATTTAGAAATATACTAAGAGACGACAAATGTTAGGACACAAATTGAATGAGGTGACACAGATTAACAAGCAAGAAGTCTTTTATTCATCATCAAAACAGCAATAAATCAGGTGGAACAGCAGTTGTCGCCCTGTCCTGTTTCTTTCACATTTTTGCAGGCCTGCAGAAACAAAGCATGTGCTCTTTACCCATTTCGCGTTACGGGTTTCACACCAATCTAACGATTTGCGGCACTGTCGTGACTCTTTGGTCATAGTTACAGGAAGCGGAATTTCTTGTTTTTTTTTCGAGGAACAGGTCAAAATCAATGTGCGCGAGGACGTCATCCATAAAATTTACATGGTGTGGCCTAAGGGCTATATCTAGACATACAGACCAACACGTGGATACAAAAGAATTAACCTACGTACAGGTGCGAGATTATAGCCCCAAATGCTACGATAGGAGCCATGAGGTCAACACAAAAGGCTGGGTTAATATTTAAACAATAAATTTTGAACTATTAATCAAACCACTGCATTGATAGATGGGGAAATTGTAACAACTAGAAAGAAAGGGACGTTCCTCAACTGTTGGGGGCAAAATATGACTTGATTCAGAAACAGAATCTTTTTTTTTTCGCAAATCAGAAAAAGATGAAGAGGCAAATCGGAGAACCAACAAATTAAATTGGTGCGGCCTAACATTATATATGCTGGATGCTGTATGACGTTAGCCTAGGTGCCATCCGAATTTGTAACGGCTACCCCGAAAAATCGATTTTTTTCGGGGTAGCCGTTACAAATTCGGATGGCACCCAGGCTAGTACGACGTGACCTGAGCAACATCAACATCCCGCTCTCCCAGACACAGCAGCTGGCTGAAGACAGAGGAAAGTGGCGGGCCCTGACGAAGCTAGTCAGCTCTACGCATCACGTGCAAGAGGAATGAGTGAGAGTGAGTGAGTGAGTGAGTGAGTGAGTGAGTGAGTGAGTGAGTGAGTGAGTGAGTGAGTGAGTGAGTGAGTGAGTGAGTGAGTGAGTGAACATTATATATAGTAATAGTACCGTTTTCTGTCCCAGACCCTGCCGAAGACATCGTCGGAGTCGTGGCCGGCGGGTTGGTGGCGGCTGGTGGACGGCAGGACGGCGTTGTTGCTCCGCCGGGTGCCGGCTGTCCTCCCCGCCGCCAGACCGCCGCCCGCCACCGCTCTCAGCGGCGCGTGCTTCACGCGGTTAGACCTGAAAAAATACAAAAACGTGACAAATAAATCTCTAGCATGAAAGTTCATTTGTGTTGGCTCAAGTCATTATGAAAAAAAAAGACTTAACTTTCCTTCCAACACTGAAACTAAAAACAAGATTCCTGGAACACCATCATCCTAACTCTGTAAACTCACAGGTCTCGCAACACATTCAATGCTATCCTTTCCTGAGAGGGGTGAAAGAGGATATTTACATCAGGGCCCATCACCCTTCCCTCAACCGCGACGGGGGCCGACATCATCTACCAGATGCCTTTGACCCAGTGTTGACGCCACAATTCAAACAAGCCACGTGACAAGCTTCACTGGGTCAGTCTACGTACTGAGGAAGACCAGAGTGACTGGTCGAAAGCTCTCGGTGAGAGAACTTTGTTTTGGATCAAAAGGTTTAACTTTAAACAATGTTACCCCTATAACAGATAGTTCCCTACTTACCGGAACAGCCGAGGGAAGGCCTGTTTCATCTTTTTGCGGAAGATCCGTCCGAAGGTGATGTAGACGATGGGACTGATGGCAGACTGCAGGTAGGTCAGAATCAGGGCCACGATCTTCCACGAGAACGTCACCAGAGTGAAGGGGAAGTCTTCCTTGGCGATCACCTAATGGTAACAGGGCTCGAAATTAATTTTCGGCAATAGTGATTGGTTTATTGAGAAGAACAAAGAACATATCAGACTTGCAGTAAAAACTGAATTGTGCTGATTTTTACAACTTATAGGATTATACAATACTAGTGGATATAAGAGGGCAACTTACACTTGTAATATACAAAATTTATAAAAACCATCGTCATCGTCATATTATAGCAATATAAGTAAAACAATATGATTTCACACGAGTAAGATCACTACTGTCGTTCTACATTAAAATGACTGAAAGTCTTTGAAGTTTTAATAGGTGCGCTGGTGCACTCAACCTAAAAAATTGGGTGCACAAAAAAAATTGGATGCACCATATAAAATAGAATAAGTATAATGTCAACAAAAACTAGTTATGCTTCATTTCTTAAGAAAAGTACTACTTGTACAACAATTTATTTTTTTCTGACACTTGAATGTTAAGAATACACGTATGCTGTATTCTACTATGCATTTAACATCTTTACATACGTAAACCTACGAAAAAAATTGGGCGAATAGCTTCAATTTTGGGTGCACATGCACTTAGTATTTCGAGCCCTGGTTATTGTGAGAGGCTGACATTGCAAATGTATAGTACATAACGTTAGATCTGTTGCATCATGATCAATAATTGATAGTGCACTGTATGATATATTATTGCCAATGAATGTAAAATGACTCTAACCTGCCAGAGGAGCAGTATTTGGGTCGGCAGCCAGCAGAGCGCAAACACCAACACCATGATGGTGATCATCAGGCACACCTAATAACAAACAAACAAACAAACCGGGTTTTATGTATCTCCATTCGATATTTGTATATTTAGATGTTCCACAAAGTGAAAGGGAAGGCAAAACAGGTGCATACACACCTTTACAAACTGCCCTCCCCCGTACAAAAAACACATGTACAACAACAAAATTTACATATTCAAAGACCGCAATATATAGAATATACACAGAATGCATGTAGAATATAGTAAGTTAAACATAATGATATAGTAAAGGTCATGAAGAAAGCGACAACTGCATACTGACGCTAACAACATGGAGCTTATGGAGGGGTCTAACTGGTCCTCTATACGATATTCTTGAAACAGAGGTTTCGGCTTTTTCGCGTGCTTTAGGCGCTTTTATCAGACTCTCATTCTTGTAGTGGTGTCTTTTTTCACCTTGGGGTGGTAAATGGTAAATCCCGGGAAAAGGATTATGCCTGGCCAATTTCATACTGTCTTTGCAGCTACCAAAAGATCTGATTGAAGATTAAGTACTATGCATCCTGCCGTTACAGCTACCGCTAGCGCTAGCTATGTGGTCTGAGGATAATGTACTCGACATTATACAGGGAGCTGTCCCTGTCCCTGGTACTGAAACTGCTGCAGTATACGTAACGCTAGCCTTGGTGCTGAAACGTTTTCGTTGTCCTCAGTGATTTTGCTCTTCACAAACCTGTGCCAATTATGAAACGCACAAGAATGGCTCTGTCAGCTGTTATTAAAGTTCACGGAGTTCCTAACCTTTGCAGCAAAACCAAGTAGAACAGAAGCAACATGTTTGGGCACCAGGCAAGAGCCCGTGATCTTTTAGTTCAAACAACTAAGAAGGACATTGGGGTGGAAGCTCCCTAAATTTGACAACAACACATTGTCAAACATTGTCATTAGATAGCTTTTAACAATGTCTAGAGTTAGATGTTCAAGGGTTAGGTGTAACAAGTCGATCGGTGTAATATAGCCAGCTGCCGCCGCGCCGCGTACCTGCGAAGCTGGTGTGTTACGCCGAAAGGCGGTTATACCGGCTATACAGATACAGATACAGAACTCTCTAAAACGTATTGATGGAATAATAATTCGGTTGACTCACCTTCCTTCTCTTCATGAGGATCCGTTTCCTGATCTGTGAGCCGGCGCTCACGTCCACGGCGTTGCGCCCCCAGAGCTTCTCCACCACGGCGATGCAGCTCCAGATTCCCACCGCTAGAGGGAGCGCGTAAGTCAGCAGAACAGTGGCGATCCAGTAGGTGATCTGCCCGGCGTGAGAGGGCCACCGCTGCAGGGGAAACAAGCGTCAAACTAGTTACTTGTTGCTGTATTTCTTGAGAGGGGTGAAGGATGCCATATACATCATATATATCACCCTACATTGAACCGCGACGGGGGCCGACATCGTCTGCCAGATACCTTTGACCCAGTGTTGACGTCACACTTCAAAGAAGCCACGTGACAAGCTTCACTGGGTCAGTCTACTGAGGAAGACCAGAGTGACTGGTCGAAAGCTCTAGGTGAGATTTGGACCAAAAGTTTTAACTTTAAACTTGTTGCTCTTTTGTTATCATTTCTTTGACATTGTATGCACTCTTCTCTGTCTGTGGTGGGGCTAAGATTAGCAACCTGCTACTAGAGTTACCCAACACTGTGTCCTGTACATTTCTATCTTGATAAATATGTATTAAAAAAAGTGTCAAACTAGCCGTGGCGACTCTAGCCTGGGTGCCATCCCCAGTAGTATTCGCCCGCTCTATAATGTCGCTAGCTTACCAGTTGTAAGCTAGCGGGCGAATACTACTGGGGATGGCACCCAGGCTATGGCGACTCTTGAATAGGGCGTTATTACTGGCTGCCTTATATTCTATACATAATTTGTCATCGTGAGAGCAAATACGCCGTATTGAAGAGTCACCACCGCTAGTGTAAAACGTGTCAAACAAATTAAGAACCTTAGGAGGATATATAGCAGGGAAGCATCTGTGTACTTTCAGATCAATTGCAAGTTATCATGTATAACCTTTCAGTTGAGCATTTTGTGCCATAAATAGAAAACCATCACTTGTGTATCCAATTTGCAAATATATTGGCTTAGCCGTGAAATATTATACAGCGAAGGCTGCAACGAATATTATTTATAGCAGTTAATTTGATTTACATCGTTGTTTACTACGCTCCATCTATATTCTGTATTAGATCT